TCTATCTATCTATCTATCTATCTATCATCTATCTATCTATCTATCCATCTATATTGCAGTTCCAATGGACCTTGGAAAAAGCAGATTATTTGGATCCATTTCAGACAGATTTCAAGTCAAGCCATAGCATGGAGATGAATTTACTGCACATGACTTATGGCAGAGGTAGAGTTGTGGCAGAATTTGGACAGAACGATGCAATTAGTGGTCTTTGACAGCTTTTGATACCACTGATTATATTATCCTTCTGGATCAACTACAAAGGGATTGAGATCAAAGGCATAGTGTTGTGCTATTTCTCTTTCTTTCTCTATGGTTGGTTCCAATCATTGTTTGGAAGTGGGGGAAATAAAGTCTGGAGCCTCTTCCACTTTCTCCCAACCTGTTTACTCTTTCTATATTTATTTTAAAACTTGAACCTCATTCTTTCTTTCTCAGTGTCCAAATCACCTCAATGTACCTTGTTTGGTATTCAACACTCTCACCCTTCCTGTTTAACATCTATCTGAATCTGCAAGGAGAAGCCTCCCCGTAACACAGAATCAGATGTCATTAGTATGCAGATGATAGTTGTATATCTCAACCCCTGATCAACCAAATGATGCTGCTAAAGTCTTATCCTAATGCCTGGGGTCTTTATAGGGAGCAATAAGTTTCATCTCAACTCTTAGAAGACCAAGTGGCTATGATTCTTCCTGTGCTAGATATTTCCTGTTTTTATTTCTGAATAGAATCGTTTTTTTCCAGGCAAAACTGGCATGAAATTCATAAATCTTCCTAGACTGACTGCTGCTACTTGAAGTGTTGGTGGCAGCTAGGGCAGACAGAAAGGTTTTTGCACAGATTTGTCTGATGCACCAATTGCATCATTTTCTGGACTAGAAGTCTTTTTCAGAGTTACACACCCATAGTCACCCCAAATCTAAAAATTACATACAAAGCAGGCTGTTCTTAAAGACCATTTGACAGCTGCAGCTGGTCCAAATGCAGAGTGTGAGCAGTAGTGAGTGTATTTTGGTATGTCCATTTAACTTCTGCTATGCAAGTTGCCATGCATTTTCAGATGTAATTCAAGCTGCATGTTGCCACCTACTGCAAATACCCATTTATCAGAGGGATCACCTTTCCCCCATTATTTATTGTTGTGACTCCGGGATTTGATTCTGGTCCGTCGGCAGATGTGAGCTCGAGTGAGGAGGATCTGGCGCTGAGATTCGAGCCTGCATTATTAAGTGATTTTGAAGGTAGCCAGGATGAGGAAGTGGACTTAGCTATGAGAGACGAACCTAATTTATTGAAGGTGTCGGAGTCCTCTCCCTCCCCCGAATCTCCCTCTCTGATTACACAGCAGCTGGTAACAGATAATCAGGAAAACGTACGAGAGGTTTCAAGTGAGGAGGACTTTGAGGGATCCTGGCTTGATGTGAGAAATAGACGGAGATTGAGATGTCAATCTCAATTGGGAAAGAAGCGTCAAGCCAGTGATTAATTAATGAGACTAACACGCCCCCTTAGGGGATAAAAGGAAATGGATTGGCTTGAGAAATTTGCCAGAAGCAAAGTGTCTTGCTAGAGCGAAAGTACTGTGAAGATTATCTGGGGCATTGTGATTTATAGCAGTGATCCCCAACCTTTTTTATGCCGCGGCCCGGTACCGGCATTAGCTGGGCGCCGCGGCCCGGTACCGGCATCAGCTGGGCGCCGCCATCTTTTTTTGATGAAAAAGTGCTTCCGGTGAGCTTTCTACCCGGAAAAGCTCACCGGAAGCACTTTTTCATCAAAAAAAGATGGTGGCGCCCAGCAAGCCAGCGGCCCGGTAGGACCTGTTCCGCGGACCGGTACCGGTCCGCGGACCGGTGGTTGGGGACCCCTGATTTATAGGCACTTCAGGATTGCCAAACAGATTTCAGAACTACTGCTGAGGACTGGAAAAACCTCAGCAGTTATCTTTGTTGGGGTTTGTTTTTGGTTGCTTATATTTTTGGAACTTTAGAATTTTGATTGCTCACCTGTGGATA